AATTAATTTATAGATATTTTTGTATTTTCTGTTTTATTATATGTACCTAGTATTTTATAAATTTAATAAAGATCATACAAAACTGCCGCACTAAAAAAAAAAAAAAAAAAATTTTATAAGATGTTTTCCAAAATATAAGGATTAAAATGAATCAAAAATTATGTTTCTAGCATTTGTTGTTAATAAGTTATAAGTGTTTAAAGCTAAAAATAAGTTGTTGCGTTTCTTTTGTCAACTACTATATATGAAAATTTTGTTTATATAAAACATTTCATCATATCATTTATTGAATATTTAATAAAATATGACTATTTGAACTTTAACTTAGTTGATCTAATCAAGCTGCTTGCTAACAATCCAAAGGTTCAAAGAGATGTAATTAATCAATTCTTATAGCTTTCAGAAAAAAAGAATAAAAAGCATATAGAAATATTAGAAAAGAAGAATAAAGAATATATAAAAATATTAGAAAAAATGAGTAAAGAATATTAGGATTCGTTAAAAGTAAATAATAAAAAGCATAAGAATCTAAAAGATAAAATCAATGAACTTTAATATAGCATAAAATGATCATGAGACGATTAATGTAACATAAATTTTAAAAAATTTAAAATAAAAAATAACTAGAAAATGGTTTTAGAAACTATTGTTAAGTCTAAAGCATAAGTATAATGAAAGGAACTAATCATATATCGACTCAAAATTTGAGTGGATAGATATCAGAACGTGATAGATAAAATTTTAAATAAATTTAATTAGTAGATTAGAAAGTCAATTTTATTGCCATATAGATTTTTAGAAAGATCATTTTATCTATTTATTGCTATCAATCATTATGTAAATCTTTTAAATATCAATTTTATTGTCTTTGATAATCATGTAGATTATAGATATCCATTTAGTTGCTTATAGATCTGGTAATTTTATTGACACAGCAACTTTAATACCTAGCAAAAGAATCCTTTGATATATTTAGTTTAGTTTATTTTTTTAATTATTTAATATATAAATATCTTTATTTTTTCTCTGAGTCTCAATACCTATGAGATGACAATCTTTTAGGTACTGAATTTACATATTATATTAATAAAGAAGTATAATTAACCAAGTATAAAACTTATTCTTCGCTATCTTTTGAAACTGTTATAAATTATTTGTGACCCTTTTTGCATTTGTATAATCCCTTTAATTATTGTTAGATATTGATTTGAAGTCTCTAAAGCGTAATTTCTAAAATATCTTTGAGTTATCTTTGTATTTATTTTGTATTTATCTTACATGTTTTTATATTAAGAATAATCTTTGACATTATTGTGAATCTTCACCAAGTTCCTCAAGTAATTGTCTTAATTTATTTACCCTTTGAGATTTTTATTAAAGCTACAAAACCAACATAACAACGTATAAAACATATATAATCCTTCGCTAACGCTCTGGATTAATAATTTTTTAAACATAATATTAGTAATATAAAACCCTTTAAAGCCATTTGAAAAGCTTTTTCTTTGTAATATTATTTATTAATTATAAATCAAATATTTGCATTTTTGAAATCAACTGGTGTAACAATTTCAACAAATTCTGTTAAAATTTTATAATTAGTCTGAAGCAAAGAAAAGAACTATATAATACTGCGCAAAGTGATAAAAAATGTCCCGTTATCCGCCTACTTGTATTACAAATAGTTACGTGTAACTCACGCATTTGTTGATCTTTCCTAATGAAGTAGAATTAGATAATATTGAAGTTATGCCAAGACAAATTGATACAGAATTAAAGAAAAGGATATTATGGAAGTTGATTTACTATTATTATTACTAGGGAACGGGAACCCGGAGCGATTTCTAGATGATTTTGTTTTAAATTTTATTCTTTACTTATTCTTTTTTTTTGAATAATTTCCAGGTGATTAATAATATAAAGTACATTAGTTATTGGTTCACAATCAAAAAATTTTTGGTATAACAAAAATAATATAAACGACTATCACATACCAAATAGTGCTTGGAATACTATTGAAAAACGTTGTTCCATGTCTGGATCATTTATAATTCGATAATTTATTTTAAAATCGTTCATTAAACTTTTGAAACTCTCAGAGAACGTTTTCCATTCTTGGTAACTATTTGACATCATTCGAATTCCATCATCTTTCAAGCATTCCATATGCGGTTCGATTATAAAAACTAAATATTTATCCTCTTGCCTGTACCGTTCGATGCATTGATTTGTTTCCGGCATTTCTAATAGACTCTCCCATTGTTTTCCGCCAAACGATTTTGCGTATGCGAGAGCATCCAGCGCGGATCGATCATATATCGCGCATTGATGCTTGAATTTTTCTTCCCTTTCACATTGGAGTTTAATGATTGAAGCTTGTAGATTTAAAGACTTTTCCGGATCATTTTTAATTAGATCCACGTTCATGTTTAATTGTTTCATAACCGTTCTTGCGGTCTCGTCAATCAAAACCGCATTTATACGACTTCGAATTAATCTGGATAAAGTCGATTTTCCAACGCTATGTGCTCCAACGAGCACGATATTTTTCCGTGGTAGAACCGTAAGTAATTCTCTGACAACTGGTTGCAAGGCGATATCCCATTTGGCTTTTGTTTCTATAAATGGCTTGGCGCCTTTTTCTCGTGTAAATTTAAATGCAGTAATAAGCTCCCGAAGAATGGGTTTCATTTCAATCATCGCCAGATGTTGGCCAACACATGATCTTGGTCCTTTCCCTCCCATTGTAGCAGAGAGAGCAACCAAATTTTCGTTCTGTTGAAATCGCTGAGGATTAAAATTTAAAGGATCTTCAAACCACTTTGGGTGTTTATTCATTCGAGCAACGTTAATAATTATGTTAGTGCCTGCTTGGATGCGCGTTCCTGAAATATCGCAATCAGCAAGCGCTTTCCTGATTATGACCGGACCGA